CCGAAGTCTTTTTTACTGAAAAATTAAAAGAGAAAATGAAAAAATCTAGTTTATTGTAGTATTTTATCAATTTTCCACGTTTATAATTTTTCACAACAAAATGGTTTAGAAAAAAATTAAAATTTGATTTGACCAAAATTTTTCAAGAAAACTGTTTATAAACTTCAAAAGAAGATGTCCTAACAACTCTGCTTGACAACAACAATTTTGTATTTTGAGTTTACTTTTTTTTTAGAAAAATGATTGTGCCACATGCCATTATTGTAACCCTATGTATGGTTTTAAACCCAAGAATAGAAAGAGATACTATTATTTGACTTATGTATCTTGTTAGAATAATTTCAAAACAGAAATCACCTTGGCTAGCATTTTTGGATATTATGAAGCCTTTGATAGTTTTGATCCAGAGGTGCCATGGATCCAAGTGCATTAATTACTTTGAACTCATTTTAGGGTAAGAATACGTCTTTCTACCAGACACCTGATTATTTAGATGGGTAGTGGTGTCTTTCTGTTAAATGTTAAAGATAATCACATTCTCTCCTTCCTTCCTCCCTCTTCCAACTCAGTTGTACTTGGTACTTATCATTTCATGCCAAATGCATGTCATTATTTTAACCACATTTTATATTCATCCCTTAACAATATAGTGGAGTTTCAAAACTTTAAATGTTAGTGGACTTCAACTACCCTTCTGCCACTGTGAGGTTTTCCTATTTTAATACATGTGGTTCTGTGTTATTCTTTTTATAGTCATGTGGTTTTCCAGTGTATGAATATACCACCAATTACATACCCATTCTGTCTTACTCTTCTTACAAGTAATGTTTGTAAGAGTAACAAATGCCTTACTCTTACAAGTGATGTTTGTATATGACTCCTTGGGCATATTTGCCAAAATTTCTTTGGTAGCAGAACTGCAAGTTATAGGATATGTGCATCTTCCACTTTATTAGATGTTCTCAAATTGTTCTCCAAAGTGACTTGTACCAAACAGCACACTGATTTACTATTACTTGTTTTTTAAATTTTTATTTATTGGATGGATGTGTAAAGAATCTCACTGTAGCTTTCATTAATGTTTTTCTCATAGTCAAGTACTTTTTCCAGTTTTTGCCCATTATTCTATTGAACTGTTTTTCTTACCAAAAGTTTTTTTTTTCTTTTTAAATATTTGGGATGTTAATCATTTGCTACATAAAGGGTTACAGATAGGTTTTCCTATTCTGTCTGGTCTTTTCACTTTTGAAAATGGAGACTGAATATTCAAAAATGTTAAATTTTTATAAATTATTATCTTGTGGTTTATTTTATTTTAGGAGACCTTGTAGAGCTCTTTTTTTTCTTTCTTTCAACTTTTAAGTTCAGGGGTACATGTGCAGATTTGTTATATAGGTAAACTAATGTCATGGGGGTTTGTTGTACAAATGATTTTGTCACTTGGGTACTAAGCCTAGTACTCATTAGTTATTTTTCCTGACTATCTCCCTCCTTCCACTTTCCTCTCTCCACCTGGCCCCAGTGTCTGTTGTTCCCTTCTATGCGTCCATGTGTTCTCATCATTTAGATCCAACTTGTGAGAACATGAGGTATTTGGTTTTCTGTTGCTGCATTAGTTTGCTAAGGATAACGGCCTTCAGCTCCATCCATGTTCCTGCAAAGGACATGATCACATTCATTTTTCTGACTGTGCAGTATTTCATAATGTGTATGTACCACATTTTCTTTATCCAATCTACCATAGATGGGGATTAAGGTGGATTCCATGTCTTTGCTCTTATTTTATTTTATTTATTTATTTTGAGAGAGAGCCTTGCTCTGTCATCCAGGCTGGAGTGTGGTGGCACTATCTCTGCTCACTGCAACCTCCGCCTCCCAGGTTCAAGCAATTCTCCTGCCTCAGCCTCCTGAGTAGTTGGGATTTCAGGCACACCCCACCATGCCCTACCAGTTTTTGTATTTTTAGTAGAGATGGGGTTTCACCGTATTGGTCAGGCTGGTCTTAAACTTCTGACCTCATGATCCACCTGCCTTGACCTTCCAAAGTGCTAGGATTACAGGTGTGAGCCATGGTGCCCAGCCATCTTTGCTATTATTAATAGTGCTACAATGAACATATGCATGGGTGTGTCTTTATGATAGAACTGTTTTTATTTCTTTGGGTATATACCCAGTAATAAAATTGCTGAGTTGAATAGTTTTTCTGTCTTTGAGGAATTGCCACACTGCTTTCAACAATTTTGAACTAAATTACACTCCCACCATGGGAGTAACAATGTATAAACGTTCCTTTTTCTCTGCAACCTTTCCAGCACCTATTATTTTTTTTGACTTTTTCATAATAGCCATTCTGATTGGTGTCAGATGGTATTGCATTGTGTTTTTGATTTGCATTTCTCTATTGATCAGTAATGTTGAGCTTTTTTTTCTTATGGTCGTTGGCTGCATGTATGTCTTCTTTTGAGAATTATTTGTTCACATCCTTTTCCCACTTTTTAATGGGGTTGTTTGTTTTTCTCTTGTCAATTTGTTTAAGTTCCTTATAGATGCTGGATGTTAGACCTTTGTCAGATGCATAGTTTGCAAAATTTTTCTCCCATTTTGTAGGTTGTCCATTTACTCTGATAATTTATTTTGCTGTGCAGAAGCTCTTAAGTTTAATTAGAATTTATTTGTCAATTTTTACTTTTGCTGCAATTGCTTTTGGCATCTTTCTCATGAAATCTTTGACTGTTTCTATGTCCAGAATGACATTGCATAGGTCATCTTCCAGGGTTTTTAGGGTTTTACATTTAGGTCTTTAATCATCTTGAGTTGATTTTTGTATATAGTGTAAGGAAGGGTCCAGTTTCAATCTCCTGCATCTGGCTAGCCAGTTATTCCAGCACCATTTATTGAATAGGAAGTTGTTTCCCCACTGCTTGTTTTTGTCAGCTTTGTCAAAGATTAGACGGTTGTAGATGTGCGGGGTTATTTCTGTGCTTTCTATTCTGTTCTGTTGGTTTATGTGTCTGTTTTTGTACCAGTACTGTGCTGTTTTGGTTACTATAGCCCTGTAGAATATTTTGAAGCCAGATAGTGTGATGCCTCCAGCTTTGTTCTTTTTGCTTAGGATTGCTGAGGCTATTTGGGAAAGAGGTTTTTTTTGTTTATTTTTATTTATTTATTTTCTTAAGCTCTCCTGTATTTAAAAATTGCCTTTTAATATGTAGGTTTTTAGTTACCTTGAGATAACTAGATAACTGGTTACTAACAAGCTTCTTTTTTTTGATATTCCAACTTTTCCTTACTGTGAAATATCAAGTTTCTGAATACATATCTGTTTTTTGAGTTCTTTCTTCTGTTCTATTTATCTACTTCTGAGGTCATAGTATACCATTTAAACTATATTATAAGTCTTAATGTTAGGTAAAGTCTCGCTCCCCTATCATATTTTTTTCAAAATGTTTTTGGCTCTTAATGGCCTTTTTATTTTTTCACATAAATTTTAAAATCAGCTGGAGGAAGGCAGCAAACCACCTTGCCGTGTATGTACCTAGGCAACAATCCTGCATGATCTGCACATGTCCCCCAGAATCTAACATACAGTACAAAAAAAGTCAGCTGGTTAAATTAGTAAATTTTTCTTTGGATTTTTAGTTGAAACAGATTAATTTGGGCAGAATATGTGTCTTTATGTTAATTCGTCTCCTTTAATGTAATTCTATAAAGTCTTATAATGTCTCACATATCCTTTGCTACATTTATTTCTAGGTACCTGACATTTTTGTTGCTATTATTACAAAGGATATTTCTTAAAATTATATTTTACAGCTATTTATTGCTAGTAGGAACATATTTGGTATATTACACCCAATTAACTGTAATAATTAGTCTATAGTTTCATGTTTTTATGTAGGTGGTCACATTGTCTGATAATAATGTTTTTGTTTCCCTCATTTACAACACTTTCATATTTTTATTTTTTCTTGTTTTTCTTCATGGTTAGGACAACCTTTAGTACCACATCAAATAGTGTAGTGATAGGGAGTACTTTGTATCTGCTTTTAATGGCAGTATTTTTAACAGTTCACCATTAACCATAGTCTTTGCTTGTAATCAATTGTTGGGAATTTGTCTTTGATTCCAGCACCTAACCTAATATCTGATACATAGCAGGTGCCCATTAAATAATTATCGATAAAAATTTCATTATTCTTTCTAATATAAGGACATATATTAGGTAAGACCCTTTCTGTCAGGCATTAAAAAAATCTCAGAAAATTATGCGCCTGAATGCAAAGTGATTAAATCTTGCAGTCTGGTATACCATCTTAAATTATCCAGAGATGTCAACTTGAATATTTAAGAATCTTTTTAATCTCTGTGATAAACAGAAGAAATTACTCAGCAACTAAGGAGAACTGATTTATGACAAAATTGCTGTTTTTAAACATCTGTTAATGCCAACTCACTAGGCATAAAAATTCAGATGTCAAACATATCATTCAGAAGCTATGTTTTTGTGTATGCCTTCTTCAAAAACAAAAATCAATACTAGGCATTTGGAGGGAAGTCAGATTCTGCAGTTCTGCTGCTGTCTTAGTTTTCTATTGCTATGTAACAAATTACCATAAAGTGAGAAGCATAAAAATGCTAATTTATTATCTAGGGGTTTCCAGGGTGAGGAGTCTGGGCACAGGTTAGCTGACTTCTCTGTTCAAGTCTTAAGGGCTGCAATCCCAGTGTCAGCTGTCCTGTGGTTCTTACCTGGGTTTGGGGTCCTTTTATAAGCTCATTTAGGTTGTTGGCAAATTTTAATTCCTTGCAGCTCCAGGACTTGTATCCTTGTTTTCTTACTGGCTGTTGTCTAGGCACCGCTCTAAGCAATTGAAGGCCACTCCTCTCTGTAGATAGCTTGCAACATGGCTACAGTATTTGTTTTCCGTCTCTTACGCCAACCAGAGAAAATTCTTGCTTTGAAGAGATCACCTGATTATGTCAGAACAACTAAGGTAACCTACCTTTTGATTTACTCCAAGTTAACAGATTTGGGACCTTGATTATATCGGCAAAATCTCTTTTGCCATGCAATGTAACAATCACAGGTGTGAAATCTTATATTCACAGGTTCTGAACACACTCAAGGGAAGAGAGTTATACAGGATGATGGGCAATGGGATCATTTTAGGAGTCTGATAACCACAGCTCCTGCATATATGTAGAGTGTCACTCTCCTCTTTCTTCACTCTCTCAGAGAAGCATTTTCTCTTTTGTTTCAGGGCATCATCTTAAAATGTCAATGAATCTTTCTCTTTTCTAAATATTTGCATGTACCTTAAACTGCCATATGCCTTACATTGATAGTTTGGTTTCAGCCTCATTTCTTAGGTAAGGCTGGGGCCATCTTTTTTATGTGCCCTTCAGTAGTTGGATAATATATGAGTTTTAATCCAAGAGCTTCTGAGTTTCACTGATTTACAGCTGAAGTTTCAGCTATATGCAAAGCCACATGGACACACACACACCCAGCCATGCCCATAAGTATATTTGGTAATTTATTGTGAAGTTTTGCTAATGTCTGTTATTCAGCAATAGTTTCTGGTATAAGTTTATTCTTTCCCTGTTTGAATATGTTAGAAAGTTTACAAAATTATGAGAGCATTAGAGAATCCTAAAGTGAAAGAAAAAATGTTTTCATAGTATTTTGTTTTACCTTTGAAAGATGTGGTTTTTATTAGTAATACCTACATTTCTGTTTGTTAGTAATACCTACATTTATGGTTTACAAGGCATCACACTATATCTGTATCTCATAAATCATAGCAGTAATGTTGTAAGTGAGGAACAGAATATCAAGGTTGGTGATTCCCCAAATTATGCAGGTAGAATTGGGTAGAACTGGGAAATCAACCAAGGAATTTTGAGTCTAAGCTCTTTCTTATAACCTTTTCTCTACCATATGACTGGAAAGAGTTTGCAAATATATCTCATGTTTTCATAAAATAATAGAGATGCAACTTTATAGAAGTGGAGGGATATCATCTTATTTTGTGCAACTCTGACTCAGTTCAAATAATGACTGTCATTTTTTTCTAGATTTATGTGCAACTCTTTATGAATGGTTTTATTTTCTATTATGCTGTTATTTATAATTTGGCATGTGCTTCTTGTCTGCTTCATGTTTTCCTTGTATTTTTATGATGCTGCAAATCTTGTTTATAAATGCAACAAATGTAAAACAGGCCAGTTAACAGATTTATTCAGGGATTTCTCAGCCTTTCACACTTAGACTATTCCTTAACAACGTTTAATTGTCTAGAGACAAATTTTCTAAGAAAGAATGACAAAAATTATTCAGAATAGAAATATTCATGGGATTTGGAGATTGATGAGGACATTCTGTTTGGCAAGAGGCTTTTGTTAAGTAGATAAAGCCTACAAATATATAGAGAGATGGTGTAAGTGGGTGGATATTAGGAAACTTTTAAAAATTAAATTATTTTAAATAGGTAATATAGACAGATGATAAATTCAAATAGGTAAAAAGAGTGCAGTAAGAAATGAGTTTTTCTTTCAATTCTGTGTCCCAGTCCTTGTCAGTAGTATTATGGCTTACACTGAAAAGAGATTTACTGTTTTTCCAAAATGGGAAAAAAGATTTGCTGGCGTTTGAAAGTATAATAGAACTTAAGAAAAAGTGAGAAATGGCAGTAAAGTGCATTTGTATGCCTACTAAGAAAAACTTCTGGATAGCTGGTATCCAAAATAACTTTCCACTTGAACTGATATAGTGTTGAATGACTGAGAGAACGTATACTATTCATGTACATGTTTGCTGTATTCAGCACAAAATGAAATATTTCTCATGTATTGAGCTGCTTCTACCATGTTCTTGTTATGCTTATTAATAGAGTAGCACCCCTTCAATCATCTTTTCTTAGGCTAGTCTTTCAGTTACACTGTGGAATCCACCTATGCTATGTCATTATAGAATCAGGATGCTGTGGGTAGAATTGTGGTTACTTAAAAAAATACATTGAAGTTCTAACCTCTGGAGCTTGTGAATGTGACCTTAGTTTGGAAACAGCATCTTCACACATATAATCAAATTAAGATGAGGTTAAGATTGGAGTAGGCTCTAAATATAATGACTAGTATCTGTCTAACAAGGCCAAATAAGGGCAAAGATGCACACAGAAAAATACCATGTGATGCCTTGGACAGAGATTGTAGTGATGCAATTGTAAGACAAGGAATGTCAGGAACTGCCTGTGATCACCAGAATCTAGGAGAAAATCATGGGACAGATTCTCCTGTAGAACCTTCAAAGGAAACCAGCCTTGCTGATACCTTGACTTTGGACTTCTAGCCTCCAGAAATGAGAGAATATTTTTCTGATGTTTTAAGCCACAAAGTCTGTGGTACTTTATTATGGCAGCCCTAATAAACTAACACAGGAAGAAAGGCAGGAAAACTGTTTTCCTTACTGAGAAGCTGTTTATGTGCTAGGTACTATACAATACACACATTATGCCATTAGTGTTCTTCTCACAACTGCCTTGCAGAGTAGGTATTATTCCTATTTAATAGATGCAAAACCTCAGGCTCAGGCTCTGAAGTCTTAAATAAATTTTGCAGAGTTACACAGTAGATGGTCTCTATCTGATAAAGAAGCCATTATAACACATTATTGCTGATGATGTCTCATTTACAAAGGAACAACTAAACTTAGAGATGTTTTTAGCCACCTGGGGCTTCACACATGGTTGATTTTAGAATTGGAAGCAAAAAATATATCTCCTACTAATGCCGAAAGTCTCACTGTTTTTTATTATTGACATTTATTTTTACAATGTAAATATTCCTAGAAAAAATAACATATGCCCATGGAAACATAAATTTATCCAAGGCTTTTGTTATATTTTTCTGAGGTCACAGAAGCTCTATGGCTGAAGACCATTGGATGCATGGTGAAAAAGATGGGCATGGATTAGTGAAAGAGTATAGAAAGAGAAGATAGTGTAGCAATATAAAATAAATCCTGCCCACTTTAGCATTTTCCTAAGGTCTGGCAGATGTTTCTTCTGTATTTGTTTATCCTTAATAACTTTTGTTGTTAGGGCTGACATCATCTTCACTGGAGATTTATATTTGTAATAGTGTTAAATATGAGGACTAAGTTGAAATAGTTGGTAGAGGTAGGACGATAGACTATATGTCTGACACATACCTGGCTCAAACAACTGTTTGATATTCTAAATGCGGTTGAAAAAATGTAATGTAATATAGTTTTGTAGTTTTTTTTTTTTTTCTGGTGGAGTCTCAATCTGTTACCACACTGGAGTGCAGTGGCATGATCTCAGCTCACTGCAACTTCCACCTCCCAGGTTCAAGCGGTTCTCCTGCCTCAGCCTCCTGAGTAGCTGGGACTATAGGCATGCAACCAAGGCCAGCTAATTTTTGTATTTTTAGTAGGCATAGGGTTTTACCATGTTGGCCAGGATTGTCTCGATCTCTTGATCTCGTGATCCACCCACCCTGGCCTCCTAAAGTGCTGGGATTACAGGTGTGAGCCAGTGTACCTGGCCAGTGTGTTTTTTTAACTGCATAGAATACATTTTTTACTGTAAGGAATTTAGAAAATGTAGATAAAAGAAGAAAATGACTAATTATACCATCCTAAGTCTGGCAAAGCTGTATTTCAGTATGTGTTTTCAGGACATATTGTATGAATACTTAAAAATTAAATTGGATAATACTAGCATATATTTTTGAACTACTGGAAAGTTTTGAAATAAAATAAAAATAAATGACAATACAAATATGGCATGCCTAATACAGTTTAATGATTATTTGAATTTCTGCAAATAGGCTTTTCTTGTTTTAGGTACAGCTCCTTATTGAAGACTAAGTAAAAGGATATTTTAAAGATTGATTTTCGTTTTCTGCAGAACTTAAAATCTCATCCCAAGGCTCAGAGTAGAGTCTGTCTTGCTTTATTTGTCATCAGTCTATGTTCCTGATAGTGACCTCATCCAGTATAGCTAAGTGATGATTTTCTTTTGCTTTTCCCATCTTTTCATTATAATAGTTTTAAAGTGAAATTATTATAGATTGTGTATAGCTAAATCACAAGTTGGCTGCTTGACAAAAGTAAGACTCAAACCACTTAGATTTTCAGAGGTTTTGATTGTAATGAATGTTATTTTCATTACTATCAAATTGATATCCATACTCATTTCTAAATCTGTACTTCATGTGTCTCAGAGGTCTTTTGGAAGAAAACTGATGTGCTGGTGTTCACTGGAATGATAACTCCTGGGGTAATGTGGTATCATGATGACTAAAAATCTTACCCATAGTGGATTGCACTTGCAATAGATATAAGGTAAAATACTCACAGCTTTAGTAATTGAATGATGTGGGGGAAATAATAAGGGCTGTATAATTGTCTGGCCTTTGCTAACCACTTTAAAAGGCCTGATGAAGGACAACCAAAGGGTAAGGTCAGCCAACCATTATTCAAGACACTGTGAAACCCAGCAGGCCTTCAAGGCAGTTTTTCAAGTGATCCTTATCTCCTGCAGTCAGAGAATAGATTGGGACTGGAATTTAATTGTGAGGGTGGTCAAGATGTAAGGGAGATGAAGTGAGAAGTCTTGGCAGGTTTCTTAAGTTAGATTCAGGGCCCAGATCATGGAAGTATGAGAACTGAAATGAAGACGTTTGGTGGATGTGCCAGAGAATTTTGAACCCTTTATTCTCTTGTGCTGGTGGAGGTGACGCCCACCTGCTGGCTAGAGGAGAGTATCCTCTCCTTGCCTGTGGGGGAAAAAAAAAACTCTATGTGAAAGACCTCAACATATGCAACTGCCTTGCAAAATGATGCATGTCTTCCTTCCTTCTCTCATTGTCTAGAGGCTAGAAATAAGGGTCACATCTGAGCATTACTTGAGGAGGCAAGTCTGGGGTGAATAGTTTACTCTTTAAAGGATTGCAGGATCTGGATAGGCTGTACCAACAGGAACTAGGTAAACAGGTGTGGAAGTAGATCTTGTGGACATTAGCAAGGGGCCTGGTGCAGAATATAAGGCTGGTAAGTGGAGAGTTTATTGACTTGGGTTCACCTTCCCATGACTCAAGGTTTAACATCCTAGCGAAGACACCTGGAGCCCATCATAATGCTCTGCTAGGGTGGCTCTTTGAAGCTACTTAGAGAAGCCAGAACCTTTTGACAGAGTATTGAGGAATGGAGTTAGAAGTCTGGGGAAGTAGGCATGTTAGAATGGATTTATTATGTGAGACTAGAAAACTCTCATTCCTGCCTCTGTTCCCTGGGAGAGCCCTGATGACACTTCATTCACTAAAGCAATAAGGAATGCACTTTAAGGCAAACACTGGCATGTTCGAGAAGCTCTGTAGTGGCTATCCTCTTTAGGCTATGGTTGACAGTTGGGGATTGGCTTCTGTGGTTGCCTAGACAAAATGAGAATGATGGGATTCCAGAATTTCTGAGGCCAAATGGTGGTACCTTAGACATAATAAATGGACAAAAAGGTCAGATGAATAACCAGGAGGCTTTGACCCATTGGGACCTGTGGCAAGGGTTCATACATCATGGTGTTCCTGACAGAAGAGAAATGGTAAGCCCATTGGGGTACAGTTTGTTAACTTCAACAAATGGTAAATAAAAGAGTTGTGAACAGAAGACTGATGTCAGATGGAATGATGGACAATGAAAAATAGATTCCAGACTGAGCTAAAGAGATCTGAGCTAGTTCAGAGAGCCAGAGCCCATTGATTGAAGGGAAGTCTGGGTTCACTGAGAGGTTACTTCATGTGTATGCCATAGATATGTCTCCATTCCTGCCCCAAAAGGACTTAAAGCATATATCAAATTGTATGTTGAAAAAATGCTGTTCAAAGAGCTTTGGATAAATGATCTGAGCTGGCACTTAAAATAGGGAACCAGGAATATTACTATGATTCCTGGTTAGAGTGACACCTTGGAAGAGCAGATACTAAATGGAGTCCTGACCTAAATAATCTTATGTGAGTCCAGTTCTCCACACAAAGAAAAAAAATTTGAAGTGAAACTGCAACCTGGGAGAAATTGCAGAGGTTAGTGCTACTCCCAAAGATGTAAAGAATGCAGGTTGCTTCCAACACATTCTTTTTCAGTTCACCTGTTTGACCCACATAGCAACAATATGAATTTTGGTAGATGGCGGTAGACTACCACAAACTTAACCAAGTGGTGGGCACAATTGCAGTGGTTTCAGGTATTTCATTTTTATTAGAACCAACCGATATAGCCTCTGGCACTTGGTATTGATCTAACAAATGCATTGTTTTCCATCTCTATCAATCAAGAGTTTCATAATTAATTCACTTTTATGTTAGATGGACAGTATTATGCAGTTACTATTTTCCAACAGGGTATCATTAGCACTCCTATAAAAGGTCTATAAAAGATAGTCTGAAGGGACTCTGATTATTTTAACATTTTACAGATCATTTCACTTGTCCACTACATTGATGCCATTGTGCCAACTGGATCTGATGTGCAGGAAGGAGAGAGGACCCTACTTGCCCCAGTAAGGTAAATTTGTGTCAGAAGCTGGGAGAAAGACCCTATAAACTCTTTCAGAGTTTCAGAGTAGCAATGATGGTGGAGCTGAAGACTTGTGTCTGAGCTCAATAGCATGAAGACCCACTCATCCTAGCTGATCTGGCTACTAGTGCTGCTGAATGCTGGGCCTATCAGAAGCAGAGATCAATGATATGTTCCCATCCCTCAAGGAGATTAACCAGTCACTTGGTGGCAAGTTGATTACATCAATCCCCTTCCATCCTGAAGATGAAAGTGATTCTTCAGTTGCAATCTTTTCTAGAGGTGGGTTTCCTTCCTTGATAACAGGGTTTCTGTAGCACCTTACTCAAGCACTTACAGAATGTGTGATTTACAACAGCAATACTGTAAAACATCCTGTCAAGATCAAGGAGAATGCTCTCATTTCATAGAGAAAGAAGTGAGTAAGCAAGTGTATGGCCAAATAGTTTTCTGGTCCTGCCACATACCACATCACCTGAAAAAAAACCAGATGATTAAAATTATGGAGTGGTTTAGCCAATGTCCTTCAGAATTGCCTTAAGTCATTAGTGATATGTAGTGAGGTGTCTCTCATGGCTAAAAAATACAGATCTAGGAAGTGAGACATGGAAACAGAATTGGTTCCCCTTCCCATGATCCTGAGGTCTACCTCAGGATGGAATTCACATTTTCCCTCTTTAAACAATTAGCGCTGTGATATTAGAGTATTTGCACTCAGCAGTATGATATGTGCCCACTAAACCTGCAATTGTGACTACTTCAAAAGGGTCAAAAGTGATTTTTATGTTATGGGCTCCTCATGCCAGCAGATTGGCAGCCAAAAAAGAAATATATTCTTGGGGGGAAATGAGCCCCATGATCCTGAAGAGGTAGAATTGCTACTTCACAGTGGTAATCACAAGATGTACTTGTGTTTCCATGTCTAGTGACGATGATCAACCAGCAATTGCAGTGACCATAGCATGCTAAGAACAAAACAACTAATAACTCAGAATCTCAGCTGAAGGTTTGGGTGACTCCATTAGGCAAGCAACCTAGATCAGCAAAAGAGGGACTGAGCAACCTGGTGGACAAAAGGGAGAGAGAAATTACAAAGTGTAATAGAGAAGTGAAATGATGAATATGAATTATGATTTGAGTACCAGTTGTAGCATCTGTAGCTTCTGCCTCTAACTGTTGCATATTAAGCTTTTTGAAGAGGACACCACCTTGAACACTCAGCGATGAATTGCCTTTAATGTAGGGTGCAAGCGGGTCTCAATGGTGCCAGGAGTGGACTGCATTGTCCCACCTCACACCCTCTGAGCAACACCTTTGTATCCAGCTGTGGTTGGGGAGGATAGTTTCATATGTGTTTTGACTCATTTGGCACTGACAACATCTAGCGTCCGATCTTTGTTGCATATCTTTGATCCTCTAATGCTGAGGATGAAAAAGGTGTAAAATAGGCAGTTGAAATAGGGATCCAGGTCTTAGGAGGTCCATCTGGAGGGGTAGGTGTGTTTCTAGACTGCGGAAGGAATCTAAAGACCTGGGAAGGAAAAATTTCTCTAGGGAGAATTTCAACAATGAAATTAGACAGGTCATATGGAAGAGTCCCAAAGAATATTTAAAACACTTATAGTCAAGGGGCAAGCAATATATATATATATATATATGTGAAGGGAAAACATTGACAAAGAAGCTTGAAGAGCAATCTGCAATAATACTAGAAGAATGCTCTATGTTTTTATTAAAGGGTGACCTAACTTGGCTGAACTCTTCATTTGATGTGAAAAACAGTAAAAAAATACCTTATATGCATTGCTATTTATAGTTTATAAAGCCCTTCTATAAATTTTTACAATTGATTTGTTAAGATATATATAATAAGCTCAGCTGTCAATATTATCCCATTTTAGAGCTAAGAATGTTGGATCCCTGACTTTATTGTTAAGTAGTAGAGTGCTAGTATCTCTTGTTAAACTGCAGATTCCATTTGCAGCTTTAGGCTTTACATATTCCTATTAGGCCTGCCATCACAGCCTTGTGATGATCTATATATCTTAAGCAGGTCAAAGACATTTCTAGCTATGCCTTTATTTTAATCAGTGTATGTTAATGCATCTATATGTAAAGGCATTTATTAGTTACCCTAATGCACTGTATAAATTTTAGGTAGAAGCCTCAAGTGTTATATTAACAAATATTGTTTCCCTTTTGGTAACTTATAAACTGAAATGAGTGTATAAGATTTTAAAAAGTGCACACACAAGATGAAATAATCATACTGATATTAGAATTTCTTTGAATAAGTTTTTATGTGTAGGACATAGAAAGTAGCATACAAATTAACATATTTTCAATACAAATCTTTAATTTTGGGGGTTTTTTGTTTTGGTCTGTTCTAACTGTGTAGATAGGTAATGTTTAGAAGATACTTCTCTTGGGAGGAAAAAGATCATACTAAATTTTATAAAGACATAAATTTTTGTAGCAGCAATAGTCAAATTTGTCATGTTTTTCAATTTCAATGACTGCAGCCAGAAATGATCAAAATATCTCCACCACCCTCATTAAGCATTAAAAATACGAGGCCAGGGGCAGTGGCTCTTCCGTAATTCTAGCATTTTGGGAGCCCAAGGCAGGCAGATCACTTGAGGTCAGGAGTTCAAGACCAGTTTGGCCAACATGGTGAAACCCTGTATCTACTAAAAATACAAAAATTAGCCGAGCGTGGTGGCGGTGCCTGTAATTCCAGCTACTCGGGAATCTGAGGCAGGAGAATTGCTTGAACCGGGGAGGCAGAGGTTGCAGTGGGTCAAGATCATGCCGTTGCACTCTAGGCTGGGCAATAAGAGGGAAACTCCGCCTCAAAAAAAACAAAACACACGCACACACACACACACACACACACACTCACACCCCCCCAAAAAAACCCACACAAATAAGACTCTAGAGGGCACTCTACTCCCATTGTTTTTCAAGAAGTAGAGCAATTCTTTTTGAATGTAACATGAATGCTGATATTTAAAAGTCATTTTGAATACTTTCAGAAAGTTAGAATTCTGATGCAAGCTCTTGAATATCAGTTGTCAGCACGGAGCAGTGGGATTTTCGTGTTCTCTTTTAAGTGATTTCTGTTGTGATGGTTTAAGTTCTTTAATGCCTAGGATACAATTAATTTCTCAAGGAAGTATACTTACATTTACAAAGTTAAAGAGTTACAATATGTATAGGTGTAATTGTTTTTTTTTTTTTTTTTTAATTTTTTATTGGATTATAGGTTTTGGGGTACATGAGCAGAGCATGCAAGACAGTTGCGTAGGTACACACATGGCAGTGTGCTTTGCTTTTCTTCTCCCCTTCACCCACATTTGGCATTTCTCCCCAGGCTATCCCTCCCCACCTCCCCCTCCCACTGGCCCTCCCCCTTTCCCCCCAATAGACCCCAGTGTTTAGTACTCCCCTCCCTGTGTCCATGTGTTCTCATTTATCATCACCCCCCTATGAGTGAGAATATGCGGTGTTTCATTTTCTGTTCTTGTGTCAGTTTGCTGAGGATGATGTTTTCCAGATTCATCCATGTCCCTACAAACGACACGAACTCATCATTTCTGATTGCTGCATAATATTCCATGATGTATATGTGCCACATTTTTCCAATCCAGTCTATTATAAATGGGCATTTGGGTTGATTCCAGGTCTTTGCTATTGTAAACAGTGCTGCAATGAACATTCGTGTACATGTGTCCTTATAGTAGAACGATTTATAGTCTTTTGGATATATACCCAGTAATGGGATTGCTGGGTCAAATGGAATTTCTATTTCTAAGGCCTTGAGGAATCGCCACACTGTCTTCCACAATGGTTGAACTAATTTACACTCCCACCAACAGTGTAAAAGTGTTCCTTTTTCTCCACATCCTCTCCAGCATCTGTTGTCTCCAGATTTTTTAATGATCGCCATTCTAACTGGCGTGAGATGGTATCTCAATGTGGTTTTGATTTGCATCTCTCTGATGACCAGTGACGATGAGCATTTTTTCATATGATTGTTGGCCTCATATATGACTTCTTTCGTAAAGTATCTGTTCATATCCTTTGCCCACTTTTGAATGGGCTTGTTTGTTTTTTTCCTGTAAATCTGCTTGAGTTGTGTGTAGATTCTGGATATCAGCCCTTTGTCAGATGGGTAGACTGCGAAAATTCTTTCCCATTCTGTTGGTTGCCGATCCACTCTAGTGACTGTTTCTTTTGCCGTGCAGAAGCTGTGGAGTTTCATTAGGTCCCATTTGTCTATTTTGGCTTTTGTTGCCAATGCTCTTGGTGTTTTGTTCATGAAGTCCTTGCCTACTCCTATGTCCTGGATAGTTTTGCCTAGATTTCCTTCTAGGGTTTTTATGGTGCCAGGTCTTATGTTTAAGTCTTTAATCCATCTGGAGTTAATTTTAGTGTAAGGTGTCAGGAAGGGGTCCAGTTTCTGCTTTCTGCACATGGCTAGCCAGTTTTCCCAACACCATTTGTTAAACATGGAATCCTTGCCCCATTGCTTGTTTTTGTCAGGTTTATCAAAGATTGTATAGTTGTATGTATGTTGTGTTGCCTCCGGTGCCTCTGTTTTGTTCCATTGGTCTATATCTTTGTTTTGGTACCAGTACCATGCTGTTTTGATTACTGTAGCCTTGTAGTATAGTTTGAAATCCGGTAGTGTGATGCCCCCCGCTGTGTTCTTTTTGCTTAGAATTGACTTGGCTATGCGGGCTCTCTTTTGGTTCCATATGAAGTTCATGGTGGTTTTTTCCAGTTCTGTGAAGAAAGTCAATGGTAGCTTGATGGGGATAGCGTTGATTCTGTAAATTACTTTGGGCAGTATAGCCATTTTCACGATATTAATTCTTCCTAACCATGAACATGGAATGTTTCTCCATCTGTTTGTGTCCTCTCTGATTTCGTTGAGCAGTGGTTTGTAGTTCTCCTTGAAGAGGTCCCTTACGTTCCTTGTGAGT